TCAAATGAAGAAACAAAACTAAATACACAAAATGAAAAATATAATGCAATTACTAGTGTAAAGCTTTGGCGGCAGTACTCCGGTAATGCATCAATATGATATAGAGTTAATGATTATATTTAGTATTGCTTATTGCTTATTATTATTATTATTATTATTTTATTCACAACAAATCACGAAAATTTAGATCAGTTTGAAAAAAATCATATCGAATCAGAAAAATGAGACTATATCAAATCTGATTAAAGAAAAAATTATATGAAGACATAACTAAAATAGTCATTTTCAGCAACTATTGAACTAAAAAAATAACTTCGATCTTACTTATTTTGATCATCACAAAATTCTACGCACAAAAAAAAATTATGTGTTTAATAAAGTGTAGGTTGATAACGCTAATAAACACAAAATTATAGATCAAATTTTGTGTTTATAAGAGTTACTAAAAAGACACTTAAGTGTGCGAACAAATAGACATAAATTGATAGATCAGATTCTCACATTTTTTTAATATAAAATCTAATTTGCATAATTACATCATTGTACGGGCAAAAAAGTATGGAGCGCTCTTGGATATACTTTGTATTGATCATGACACTACCTGCACGGGCAGCTCAGTTGGTCAAGTGGTGGAAAATTGGATAGACCAATGTTCGAATCCCCGTAGTGATTGGTAGAAGTTACAAAACCTGAAATAAGGCTGAACCTCTGGTGCGCACGGGTGTGTGACCTACTGCCACTTTGCTGACTGAGTCACCGTGACTTACTCCTTCACCATCATGCCGGGTCGGGGTGTGGGGGCTCCTGGGGTGGGAGGTTCCACCTTTTTTGGATCCATGTATTGATCATGATACTTACATGAGGTTTTTATCAAAAAAACAACACTAAAAGAAATATACTCTGTAATAGACAAATAGGCACTAATAGAGTATATGGGCTTGGACCCACGGCCCACATACTCTTGGACATACTGACAGTCCAAGCCGACATCAGGGACATAAGGCCCACCTAGAGAGCTCATTCCAGAATGAAGAGGTGGATTTTATATCCGTATGTCATCACCGGCCTCGGTACATGCACCTCGGAGGAACACACCTCGGCAAGGCTCACCTGGACGTCTTCACCAGTAAGGCCGAGGTGCGCCCACGCATCTCGAACCCATCACTAGCAGGCATCCTCATAGTACCCTTAGCGGATTGAACACATGTAAACAGCCCATTATTGGCTCATTATTGTAATCGGGCCTTCCAGGCCCAAAACCTTGGACCCCAACCCACATTCCCCCTATAAATGGCCCTTGGGGGTAGTTATAGGAGGTTCACAACTCATTTATTGCAAGTTCTTTCTGTTCTATTTTCAGTTCTCCCTTCTCTCTAAGCTAAACCACTAGCGGTTTGCCGGGAATGAGAGCTATATGACGATAAAGGAGCTATATATATTTAGTTTTTTTTTATTGAAGTGTTCTGATCCATTTTGAGTCCTACATGTCACCTAATGTGATAAATGTTACTATTAATATGAATTCACTCGTGTGTGATTTTTTTCTTTTGAAAAAATATTAATTTTCAGACTGTGATTCCAGCAAAAATTAGATTAAACCATCCCAACTCACAAATCGCAATCGAACTCGCAAGATTGTACGCAGTATGATTTTACGATCATAAAAGGGAGGTGCGAGCTAGTTAGCCGTTGTGATTAGAAAATGACTTGGGATCTCTGGATCGACGAGGATAAACGTAACTCGTTGGAATTGTTGATCTAACAGAACTACTACTGTGAAGTTAAAAGACGGGAAGCTAAAGGCACGATTGAAGTATGGAACGTTAGTTTTACAAAATGTGACTTACGACATTAATATTCCATGATTCATCCGCTCAAAATCAATCTTCTATTTCGTTTTCTTTGTCTATGGTTCTCTACTCTTGCTTCGTCCGCTTCGTCATAAGTTTTCTTTGTCTTCTATAAGTTATGGCAAGTCACAAGTGGGAGTAAACAAAAAAAAGTAGGAGTGATGTTTTAGAGTTTGTCTTTGAACTTTTATTCTTTCAAAAAAATCTTATACCTCGTTTGTCAAGTGTTTTACAATTTATCTTTGAACTTGTTATGCTAAGCGTTTTACATTATTGCCTCGAACCTCGAGTCTTGACATTATGTTATTATTATTGTTGTTATTATTAATTATTATTATTAGTTCAGTGTTTACATAGAATTAAATTATACTTCCTCCGTTCTTTTTTAGTTGAAACATTCTTTTTTTTTCACGATTGCCAACGCACAACTTTGACTGTCATTATATTTAATTATGTATTAGTAAAAAAAATTAAAAATCAGATTATTAAACTTAATAATGAGACGAATCCAACCATATTTTTCAAAAATAATAATTTCACATTAATTAATAAATAAAATGTAGTCAAAGTAGAGAACATGAATAGTGTATAAATTGCAATGTTACAACTAATGCGATACGGAGGATATTACATAGTACTAGTTTAGTAGCGTGCGCTGCGCGTTCGTGGTAATGCCCAAGGCCATTGTAGGACACTAATTCATCGGTTTAGGTTGTTGAAGGGTTGAACAAATATACGAATACAATATTTGAATACGTAATTTCTTATTTACTGATAAGCAATGATAAACAATAAAGTATTTACTTTAGGATAGATACCCGTCCATTTAGCCCAAACAAAAAACGATTGAAAATTGACTACAATATGGACTTTGTTATTTGTCTTGCTTGCATTTTGTGGTCTCTCGGCAATCTCAGTTTTAATTTTATGCATGACCACTTTCAACAAATCAATTCATTAAGTAAAAGTTGATTGAGATGAGGATACCTAAATCAATGATTAGCGGGATAAGCAGTCTTACCAAATCAGAATATTGTAATAAATAATTAAATATAGGCACTGAATATAAGCAGTTCAAGGATGTTATTGATATTTAATATAGAAGCACTAAATGAGACTTTTACATTTACAAAGATGTGTTTTGTGGACATGTTTTTGGTTGCCTGAAGTACAATATCTACTAAAAGCAACTCTATCAAGCAATAGCTAATAGAGAACTAACACCTTAATAGAAATATACATGTATGCATAAGTTTATTCAAGAAGTTTACTTGAAGCGGTAATATAATTTAAATGTTTTAGCAAATCTGTTAAATATATCACTTTCCTAAACATATAAGCTCAACTATTCATACTTTTAAATGTTTTCCACTCATTATATTATTTCAAATTTGATCACAGTTGTTAAACGTAAACATCACTCGTAAGCATGAACGGCGTATTTTAGAACATTGTTGGTGGGTAGGGGGTTAAAAAGGCTGAGACTAAATAGGGGAATATAACCTCTATAGAACCAATTCAAAAAAGATATAGAAAAATATGAATAGAAGTACTTATAAGGATAATTAGGAGATAAATTTAAAAAAAAAGGAGATGGAGATGCCCCAGAAATACTAAAGAAGGTAATGAATCTAAAGTTGGTTTATTTTTGCTCACGTGAACTCAGCAAATAATATGTCAAATTGTCAATTACTAATTATGTTACTAATGTCAGAACATAAAAAGAACAACAAATTTGATCATAATATCTACATTTACATAATGGAAAAAGAGATGTTAAATTATAACAAGGTTTTTTATACATAAAAATGAACACCATATTTGATCAATAAAAGTACAAACCAGCTCCAAGGTCTGCCCTTTCTTAGGAAATGAGGGTTTTTTCTCCTTGTAACTATCGATGCTAGTGTTAGTGGAGACCAGAATTTCTGCAATCTGAATTTTGGGGGCTTCCATCACCTATGCAATATGAATTTGTCTCATCACATGACCACATAATTCTAGTATCCAAATGCAAAAGATTTTTTTTTAAAAAAAACAATAACAAGATAGATATCGTTACTTGGAAAGGGGCGTGACCTGACCTGTTAGTGCTAGTTTCAACTCAGTTTCAATATGTTCACACAAATTGAAGTGTTGAACCCATCTCTGACTGATTGGCATAAAGTCAATCTTAAAGCTAGACTCTTTCACACAATAAATGAGAGATTGTGTGTAAGGGTTTTCAACCAAACAAATGAAATAGAGTAGAGATAAAGAGTAGAGGATGCTCTTTTAAGAGTCTAGTTAAAGAAGACACAGGCCAGTCCAAGCAATGAAATGGAGGAGAGAAGGCACAAAGATAGCCCAGATTCAGACTAACCTTAAATCGTTGGGTGAAGGTCCCCTGAATCTTAGGAGAGATCCACGCACACCATCGGCTTCCAATTCACCTTCGAAATCCAGATCTGTCGAAGAAAAAGGACATTTCCGGCGAGCATCTGCGTTCAGTGAGGTAGGACTCCATCAGACCGTCACAAATCCATATCAAGATCCATCATGAGCGTACAAATCCTCCATGACCTTTCCAGAGCAGGGGACCAAACTTCCAAAAATCAACCTCAAGCAGTACATACAGTAAGTAGGGTGGTGAAGCCATTACTCCGATTCTACCAAGTCAAGAATTCTAAGCGGCTAAAACGGAAGAGAGGAGCTGAAACGGTAAGGGGTTCAAGGAAATAAATGAAATAGAGTACAGATAAAAGAGCGTGGACTTTCCTCCATAAGGATATAACGTTAAAGCCGTGAGCAGGTCAGCAATGTACAACAAAGTAAACATAAAGTACAGTAAGATTATGCACCCAGAGACACCAACATTTTTTTATCACCGTTTAACCCCTAACAATATTCCCTCTTATAATATTGTAGAGATTATATACGGAGTATATAAATATATTGCACGGTAGGATTTTACGATCCTCGAGTTACGATCTTCTAGACCCCTTTCGATTTTGTGCTAAGATCTCGAGTTTAAGAACCTTTTTTTTTCATCGAGTTTAAGAACCTTGGCAACGCCTAATTTAGTTCATAAAAATTCGCATAATATTATAGGAAAAATATTAATTTAGCATACAAGGTAGACCTGTAATACTCTGTATGTTACCCAAAAGCCCCTCATCAAACTTTATGAAACCAACAAGTCTCTTCTCATTCCTTTGTTTGTTGTTTTCCTCTTCTCTACCTTTACTCCTTCCATTCTAATTTATTCACTCCTAAAACCTCTTTAGGAGCAGAAGGCCAATGGCTATGGAGATGACGGAGAAGAAGAGGAATCAGCAGACCCTACATTTCTCCAGATATCTCAAATTCCTGCTTCTATCTGCCTCCCTATTTCTCTTTCCCGCCGTCGCCGCCGGCGAGCGCGATTTCGACTACGCCGACGCGCTGTCCAAGTCCCTCCTCTACTTCGAGGCGCAGAGGTCCGGCCGGATTCCGTATAACCAGAGAGTGACGTGGCGCCACCATTCCGGCCTCGCCGACGGCCTGGAGCAGAAGGTGGACCTCGTCGGCGGTTACTACGATGCCGGAGACCACGTGAAATTCGGTTTGCCGATGGCGTTCACGGTGACATTGCTGGCGTGGGGAGCGATCGAGTATGGCGCGGAGATTGCGGGTGCAGGGGAGTGGGAGCACGCTCTTGAGGCCATCAAATGGGGAACTGATTACTTCATTAAAGCTCATACTAGTCCAAATGTGTTATGGGCGGAGGTATAATTTTTATTTTAAATATTTCAGAGCAGTAATTTAATTTCTATTTTTGATTGATTTTTGTTCAGCCAACTTTTTCACTAAGCACTTGATTTTTGATTTCGCGCATTAAATTTGTGTAACAATAAGAAAAATTAAAATTGTTGTTAATTTGGTGCTTGTATTGACTGAAATTATTGTATAGAACCAATATACTATTTTCATATAATTTTTTCATTATTATATTAATAAGATAGATTTTATTATCCTTCTCATAAATCAGCAGAATCAATCAATCCAATCATTTGAATTAAAATTTTATAAATTTCGGAAAAATCAATCGATTCACCCGTTATTTTGATTTACTTTTGCAGGTGGGTGACGGAGACACTGATCATTACTGCTGGCAGCGGGCGGAGGACATGACGACATCCCGGCGAGCTTTCAAGATCGATGAGAATAATCCGGGGTCGGATCTCGCCGGAGAAACAGCTGCCGCCATGGCGGCCGCCTCCATCGTGTTCCGGGGAAGCAACCCGCATTATTCTCATCTGTTATTGCATCATGCGCAGCAGGTACGAAAATTTAAAGCTCTTACTTGTAAATTCCAAAGTTAAAGGCTTAAAGCTTAAAGCGTATGCCATTAGAGCAAAAGTGGAAAATTTTCCAGTGTAAAAAGGATGCCATGAGTCATATATGATCCACACTGAGTATGAATTAATTCCACTTTTGGTCCAGTTTTATGTCATTTCCACATTTAATTCATGTCTTTCACTTTGTTCACTTTTGATACTTGACTAATGTTTCTTGATCATTTGTTGTCCTTCTCCGACGATTTTAACCACCGGAAGTATTGCCGGAAGGACCACATATGGGCGAAACCATAATAGTCAGGTACCAAAAGTGATCAAAGTCAAAGATGTGACCAATTGTGGAATCAGTGTGATACTCGTAGGACCAAAAGTGAAATTTATTGCATTGAGTATTTAATTAGAAGTATTTTACCACCGTGTTAGGACATCCCCATTCATAGGTTTATTTGGGATCATTTTGATGATGTAGATGCATGCTATTTTTAAGATAATGGTTGGGATGTTGGAATTATTTGAAGACATTATTTAATTAAAAATCTGGTATCAAAATTTAAATATGAGATTATTGAAGATTATATGAAATACTAAAAGTCACTAGCATTAAACTTGAACTTGATTTTCCTTGCAAAAAGCAAGAATGGGTAATTTTTTTTGGAATTACAAGAATGGCTAATTAAAAATCTAGGTAAATTAGATCATGGTTGAGAAGAAATTATTTAGGTTAGAGATTATTTAAGACTTTCTTATATAAAAGTGACATGACAATAACAAGACATAAAAAATCGTAATTAAGATTGAGGAGCATAGATGAAGATGCTCTTAGTTTGTATCAATATGTATGGAGTACACAAAAAAACAAATACAACATCAAGCCTTCGTATATATGACTATTATTATATTATACACACATATTTATGGAATGTATTAAAAATTTAATTTTTGAAAATGTTACTAAGTTTGTCTCATAGGAGATGTTCAAAATTCTATTTTTTAAATTTTTTACTAAAATAAAATTATACGATAGTACATACTTCGTATTAATGATCACAGTTGTGCGTTGACAAACTTTAAAAAAAATGAAATGTTGCACTTATTTAACAACATATGTAGTAGTAATATAACTGTACTAGTTTTATACACGTGCGATGCGCGAATGAATAAAATGTTCAATGATTTTTCTTTAGAAAATGCACATTTTATGTTGATTTGATATGATTACTTTTAGAAACAATGACTTAAATATTACTTATACACCTGTAAAAGACAAAAATATGACTGATTTTGAAATAGGACAAAAATAGAGACCATTTAAAACTAAAGAGGCACAAATGCTCCTTAAAAAATCGAACATCAAAACCCTAACTTTTCTCCTTCTCTTTGCATCTTAGACTCTCAGACACGCGCGTCTCTTTCCCGCCACATACAATCTCCATCGCCGCGGGTAGTGCAGTCGCTTGGAATGGAGAATCCGGCCCCACATGCGTCGTTGGGAAGGGGAAGTTCGGCCGCCTGCGTCGCTAGCCATCTGCATCGCTGGGAAGGGAGATCCGTCTGACTGTGTCACTGTGAAGGACCTTCATCAACCGACTCCTTCGCGCGACCGTAACACGTCCATCGATTTCACCTTTTGTGCGACGCCTTTGCCTCGCCGTCCTCCTTCGCGCGACTGGAGCACATCGTTGCCTCACCGTGTATTTCTATGGTCGTCGCCCCTACCCACGCCAACGCTTTCCATCGAACACATCTGTCAATATCCAGATCTAGATCCCAAAGTCTAGATCAGACCATATTAAACAATTTCAGACCAAACTTGAACTTACACGAGCAAACTAAAAGATTACAATCCAATCAAGAACATCCGATATCCAGGACCAAAGACCTCTAATAACATTCCAAAGATAAAAAATGGAAAACTCAAAAGTGAGTACAAGAAACCTCGTACTCAAGGGAGGAGCCAAGGGGGGGTCAGGGTGGGCAGCCGACCCCGCTGGAAGTTTAAGAGTTTAGAGCTCTGAAATATCTTCGATTTGATATATTATGGCTCCCGTAACTCATTACGAGTAAAAAGTTATGATTTCTGGAAAATCAGCACTATCTAAACGTAAAATCAACAAAATTTGATGCATATTATGCATTATTTTCCCAAATTATAAAAATAACGTATAATTAACTCATTACTTACGTGACATTACTCAGAAGCAGAACAAAGACAACTATCTTATTGCTATGAATATCTATTTATCTAAACTACATATGAAACATTAAACTCAAACTTTGTCTAAAAACGATCTATCACTTTTCATTTTGTATACAATTGATTTTTGACCCCTCTTGTCCGTTTTTCTGGCTCCGCCACTGCTCGTACTGATGCAATAAGTAAAAGATTAAAAGTTCATTTGGTAAAACCTATTTTCGACTTATCTGCCTTGACAATTAATGGTTTTACCAAACATGTTCTTTATTTAGCGTGAAGATTAGTGTTATAGTCAGAATAAGATGGTAGTTACTTTTTTTTACCGAAATCAATGATGTTGACTATTTTAGTTATTTTCATATAAAATTTTCTTTGATTTATTGATGTATAATATATTTTCAATATAATAGTTTCATAACTCATCAGGTTCACTCCATTCAACGCTTCAGTTTGAATTTCACTAATTTGAGCAGATTTAGCTCTTAAGATGTATTTACTTGGACTGTTTTCAGTCTCAGACCAGACTTAAACAGACCAGACCAGACTTGACTTTTGAAGTTACGTAGTTATAAAATACACAGAGACCAAACGTTTACCAGACCAGACTTAAACAGACCAGACCAGATCAGACCAGCAAATTACGGTCCAGGTAAAAACATTACATTCTTAATAGACTCTAATGTGTAACCATTTGGGTAGCTTTTAGCTTCGATTCAAATTCTTGTGTTTGATTTGCTTATATTTAGAATACAAGCACAATCGTCGAAATATATATGTTGCTTTTGATTTAAGAGATTGAGACATTTTAACCATTGAAATTCTCTAAGCACAAGTTTGGTTATTTCAGTCGAGTAACCCCAATCGGGCTCTACAAAACGTGTTAGTTGTTCTTATGGGTTATGGTTAGGTGTAACAATAATTAAGCAATTTCAGAATAATTTGTAATATTACTTGTAACATTTTCTATTTTGGTAAACTTTTACTTCTAAGAATATAAAATTACTTTTTTTCTATACGTTTCCACTTTTAGATTTTTTATACTCCTGTTACCTTTCTTACTTTTACATTTTTCTTTATTATTCACCTCTTCTAACATTTCATTGTCTAACTTCTCGAAAACTACGATTAAAAAAAAAACTTCTCGAAAACTTTATAATTACAAGTAATTTAATACGGAGTACTCCGTATGTGCATCAATTGTTATTTTATACGGAGTAAATTGAGTACTCCCAATAATATTTCCTTGATGGGTATCTTTTCAAGAAGAGACGAAGCATTTGATTAGCTCATTATTATACTACCACGTACTCGCTAGTATTTATGACCAATGCTATAATTTGGTGTAAATTGTTGGTGTATCACATCATTTAGGCACTCAATAATTTCCTTATGAATAAAAAGGTAGTCGGACCCCAAATCCAGGGGAAGAGTTCCATCACAGGCGTGTGAGTTGTGACTTGGCAAATCTTCCCTTAGTTTTTTTTCATTATATTGCAAAGCACAAATTTTTTAGCATAAAATTTGTTGAATAGTTGAAAGAGAAATCTCTATAAAACAAAAGACCTTTTACAATCATGGTTTTGGCAAATACGAAGTACAAAGTATTATAGGAGGGCCGTAAAATGTCCACCTAGTGTTTATTCTTCGTGGAAAAATTGTGGTGCTCGGTGCAAAATTCTTGTCCTATTACATATAAAGACAATCGTAGACTCTTGGCCGGTGAGTTTAAAATTGACCCAAATGATTTAGTAGAGAAAACATCTCGGGAAGATAAATTTGCTCACTATCCATCATATCAACGGTGGCTGATCTTCTCGATTTTCCCGGCCACCAGTGCCGAAGAATAAGGATTCTTCCTTTATACCCGGGTTCTATTTTTCTGATCGCGCAAGTCATTAAGAAGTCCATTTATTTGATACTCCGTACTTCGTTTAATGTCTGTCATCTTCCAAACCATAGTTTCGATGCCACCGTTCGAGTTCTTCGATACGGATCGTCCATACTGATGGTCGAGATGTGACCATTTCCAAACTACAAGTAAGATTCCCCATTCGACCATCCTTGAACGGTTCCATAGTGAAAATGTTGGCATAGCAAGATTAAATAACTACTACTAGTATTATTTTTTGGTATAATACTTCGTAATAAATAACATTTGAACCAAATACTATGAATAATACAAAAGTCAAACTTTCATTATTAATAAAAACTAAGTTAATAAATACCGAGTGAGCTTATTTCTTCATTTAAAATATTACGGAGTATTTGAAGTACGGGCTCAAATCACATTTTGTATTCCCCTTTTTACTCTCAAACCGTTTCTTCTTAAAAGCATATAATTGTTATATTACATTTACCATTACTCTTAATCCATTACTATCGTATATGTGAAGTCTTAATCGGCCAACCAATACTATACTAGAAAGTAGAAATAGGCGATATAGACAAAAAAAATCTAGGAAAAATACTTCCTTTGTCTCATTATATTTATCTTATTTCCCTTTGTTACCCCTGTTGTACTATATTTGTCTTATATCCGTAATACTTCGTATTTATTAGGTTCAAATGTATTTATGTTTTCAAATGTTGTCGGCTTTCTTTATTTATCCAAAACACTTACCACTTCCTTATATACTCCGTAACATATTGTGGTAAGTATTGTTTATCAAATTCAACTTGATCAAATTAGCTGTCCTGTTTGGTCTTTTTCCCAACGAAAGTGAGATGGAGGTGGTATTACATAGAGAGTATTAAAGATATTTAGTAGAATTGAATACAAGAGTATGCTTAAGAGTATTATTATTACGAAGCAAGAGTGTTACCATAGTTTGTTTTTGCAACCGTCGAAATCTTGTCTGGTCTAGTCTAGTCTAGTTTGTTAAAGTTTGGTCTAATCTCCAGGTATATTAATGAAATAAGAATGGGTGTATGTGGATGCAGCTGTTCGAATTTGGGGACAAGTATAGGGGGGCGTATGACAGCAGCGTGGGAGTGGCGAAAAGCTACTACGCTTCATTTAGCGGGTACAAGGACGAGTTACTGTGGGCCGCACTTTGGCTGTTTCGAGCCACCGACGACCGCCGCTACCTCCGCTACGCAATGGACAACGCCCATTCTTTTGGGGGCATCACTTGGGCCATCTCAGAGTTCACTTGGGATGTCAAATATGCTGGCCTTCAAATCCTTGCTTCCCAGGTATCTATTAACTAATCTACCTCTCCTTTCTTCTTATATAGATGCTGATCCCTTGATTCTATGTCCCCACAGCTAATCTACAAGAGTCATACTCATTCATATCACATTTCATGCTTAAGTATTTATTTTGCTAATTCATCTAAAAGATAAGGGTTGTTTGCTACTTGGCGTGTTCGGTGAAAATGCCAGATTCACGAACAGTTTGAGCAGAAAACGCCGGAAAACAGGGCGTCTACTGAATTCGGAGGCCCCTGTTCAAAATGCTTCTTTGAGGCCCCACTTTTATCTAAAAAACTAAAAAATATTCTCGATTTAAATTCTGATTATATTCAAATCAATTGAATAATGCAATTAAAGAATCGCAGGTAATAATTTTCCCCTTTCAAATAATTAATCTGATATCTACATTTTTTTTAAATGTTTCGATTTATGAGGACATTATTATACGGAGTAGTGGAGTATGAATTTAGCTGCACGTAGTCCATATTCATATACGATATTATACACTACTAGGGTACTATAAATATTGGGGCCTCATGTAAAGTGGAGTCGTGTTCTGTTTAACCTAATTAACATGCTAAAAAACAAACACCTCCTCAGTTTTACAAGACGAAGGGTTTTTTGATATGGAGTTTCATGGATTTAAAAATAGATTAATAAATGTTAATCTTCTATATGTGGGCAAAATGTTAAGAATGTATAAACATTTGGCACCATCCGCATCATATATAAGGCTTGTTTGCAATCACTTAAGAAAAATGATTTTGATTTTTTTTAAAAATAAAAAAGCACTTATTTTACCAAACACTACCAACTTTTACTTTCTCGCCTTCCGTGTAGAATCTACTTTTTACTTTTTCTATTACACAAAAAACACTTATTTTACCAAACACTACCAACTTTTATTACTAATCACTTTTTTCTAAAAAGTGTTTTTATTTAAGCACAATTGATTGCAAACAAAGACATAGAAGCGGGAACGTGGGATGAAAAGAGATTAATATTAAAAATGAATACGGAGTATTAATTTAAAATACTACGGAGTACGAGAGTATAACTCTTCTTTCGTACACGTACTCTAGTCTCTCACATGGGTGACGCAGGAAACTGAATTCAATTGAATTCCTTGGATCGGGTCCATACTCCATAGTCTATGCAGCGCGGGATAGCTCGAACTGCAACGAGCCACGTGCATTCCTTGTTGTACTCAGTTTTAATTCGTCCCGCCATTTCCGGACAATTAGTATGGGGCTACGCATGAAATGGAGAATCCAAAAATTCTTATGTTCCTTTCTTAGGATGTTTTTACTTGGACTGTAATTTGTTGGTCTGGTCTGGTCTGATCTGGTCTGGTCTGGTCTGAACTGGTCTGGTCTGGTAAGGTCTGGTTTCTTTGTATTTTTATAACTATCCAAGTCTGGTCTGGTCTGGTCTGGTCTGAACTGGTCTGGTCTGGTCTGGACTGGTCTGGTCTGGTCTGGGGCAAATTACAGTCCAAGTAAAAACATCCTTACTCTCGTTCAACACAAGTTAGTTAAGCATACACCCTAAATAATACTCCGACTACGTAGTAACTGTGAGGTTGAGTTTTGTATACGAGAGCTAAATAAATTTAAAAACGTACGGACTATTTGTTACTTTAAATCAAAATGATAAAACATAGAGACGACTAAATAAATAAATACGGAGTAAAAAATCCATAAAGTTTTACTTGAAGGAGCCAAGGAGGTAATATATTTCAGTTGCAAAATTTTAGATTGGTATTTGGCCATTAAATTATTAATTAATTAATTAATTAATGAGACATTAGAACAAAAAGAAATCATCTTAAATAAAGGAATTCCCTTTTTAAATATTCAAAATTTTAAATGGTAAGTGAAAATGTTTTATGTATAGGAGGAATGATATACATGAATTTAAGAAACCTATACTTTAACAATTGATTTAACCATTGCCCTCCTATAATGTATAGGCAATTCAAATGATTTTGTATAGTTGAGAAAATAATTCTGCATATTCGATGGTATAGGTGAGTTAATGGAGTAAATTACTAGTAACGTAATGCTAAATCAATTCACTTTGATCCGAAATTGGTTACCACATCTTAAAAGGAGTTTTTGTCATTTTCAGTCCAACTTTTATGTTGGACTTTGATTTTTACCTACTTTTATGTCACATTTTTTATGTTCGACTTTGATTTTTACCTACTTTTAGTCCGACTAATATGAGGACACTTTTGCTACCCATTTTTGAAAATTTCCTTATGTAGTCTTTCAACTTTCATAAAAGTGATATACTGGGTCCTTCAACTATTATAATAATGACATTTGTAGTCATCCACTTAGTGTGTCAAAATCATAATAGAATGACTACAAGTGTCAATTTGGAAATACCCAAGGAATTAAATGTGGGAAGCTTTGAAGTGAAGTACTAATAAAACCGTCTCTCGCACAGTTGTGGAAGACTAAAAATGAAAATATTAAAGTTCACAATTTAAATTTAGCGAGAAAAGAATTACGCAAGTGGGTATCTGAAATCTTATCTCGCTCATAATGAGGTAAATTGTATAGCTAAATTTTGTCTTGATCTTTTTAGACTAAGGTGCTGAGATAGTACTAAAAACATGTTGTCACATTGTTTAAGTATTCAAACACCTTGTGGTTCGATGATAGTACTATAACACTTTCAAAGAGGATGTCACAAAATAGAAATTCATCCCAATTCAAGAATGGACATTCAAGAAAGAATAAATATTACTCCGTATAATAGAAGTGCGAGCCATGAAAAACACAATCAATCTGGAAGAATGATTCACAGTTCAGATCACTTCATTTGAGTTATTAATAATAATGATATAAAATGCAAAATGTGATGGAATATAGCAAATTGGATCTACAAGCTCAATACTTCAATGAAAGTAGATAGATGTAGGGAGGAGCACGTGGTCATAATGGTATGACAAGTTAGTTCTACAACCCCATGCGACGTTTCTTGTAGGGCCCCAAAAGCACAAGGAAATCGATGTTACTTGGCACTAGGCATGGACCGGTCCCGGGCTGGACTTCGGGCCGGTCCTGGGCGGGCTTTTTGGGTTTGGCTTCGGGTCCTGAACCGGCCCAGGTTTCCACTGAGTCTCGTCCCGGGCCGATCCCTGGGCTTCTTCATTTTTTTTTCCTTTTCTACTTAACCCCCCCTCACCCCCCCCCCCCCCAAACACTCAGCCCAACCCGGGAAACACAAAAAAAACTTTAGAAGAAAAAAAGGCCCGAACCGGGCCGGTTCAGCATTTCGAGGTACCGGAACCGCCACCGCTAGACTCCTCAAGTCAGGCCCAAGCCCGGTACCGATTGACTGGGCTGGTCCGGTCGGCCCGGACCAGGTCCACCACTACTCGGGAGTATACTTTCTTTAAATTTGTGGCAAGAAATTTGGATGCAATGCCTTAAACCTTGTGATTACTTTATACGGAGTACAAATTTACAAATTTTGAGTATTAACTTTTATGATTTAAAAATTGCACAGAACTTTGTGTTATACTACTGTCATCTCATTAATATTGAGACATGAATAATGACATGATTATTAAGAGAAATGAGTTGATGTGTTTGATATTAAATTAATAAATTAAGTTTAAATAAAATGATTTAAAACCGCACAAATTGTACCGAATTTGATATGAGACAATCTTAACGGAACGGATGGACTAATTGTTAAGATTTGCATTATTATGGTAAAAGATTAACTTGATAGAAGGAGTAACACAAGATCTTATATACTACGTAATATTTTACGAAGTATTACTATTATACTTATCCGGTGGAGAACAAATACTTCAACATGGACCTTCACTTCAATCAGGTCTGACAATATTGGGATGTATAAAGGGATCAAATATATATATCCTTAACGAGCTACACTTAATCTAAACATCAATCATACCAAAACTAGACTATTAGCTCTAATATCATGCTAAGATATGAGATTTCATTCTAAAAGGCTGATTTAATATGAAGAGTAGCACAAAATCTTATATAGTCTGTACTCTGTAGTATTTTGTCACTACATAAAAAATAATGACGAATATATTATCCAAATACATGTTGTCCATAAGAAATGTGATTATGTCTCATGTATTCTTATAATAATAGGTTTTGTCTAATAATTTTCAGCATGTTATACTTTATTTTTTGTGATTCAGCTACTCCAGGAGGAAAGACACAGGAAGCACCACGGCCCCATCCTTGAACAGTACCGTTCCAAAGCCGAACATTACATATGTTCATGCCTCAACAAAAACATCGCCGGCAGCAACATCAGACGCACTCCGGCCGGCCTCATATTCGTCCGGCAATGGAACAACATGCAGCACGTGTCGGTGGCCGCCTTTCTTCTCACATTACACTCCGACTTCCTCAAGAACTCCGGCCAGAACCTGAGTTGTCCCGCCGGAACAGCCGTTGGCCACGAGGAGCTCCTCCGGTTCGCCAGATCACAAGTGGACTACATATTGGGCTCGAATCCGAGGAACATGAGCTACCTGGTGGGCTTCGGCCCAAACTATCCCAAGAGAGTTCACCACAGGGGGTCATCCATCGTATCTTTCAAGGAGGACCAGAGGTTCATAGGGTGCACCCAGGGGTACGATGATTGGTACGGCCGCGACGCGCCCAATCCTAACGTCGTGCATGGGGCATTGGTCGGCGGACCGGATCAGAATGACGAGTTTGATGATGAGAGACATAACTATATGCAGACGGAGGCGTGTACATACAACACCGCGCCACTCGTCGCCGTTTTTGCTAAGTTTAATTGCTTGAATAATAGTTGTAATAACCGAACCTCAACTGCCTCTTTTTGAAATACAGAAGGCACCATAATTTACACAAAAATACCTACCTATAGTTCTATAAATATATTCGTGTTGGAGGTATTGGTCCTACCAAGGCCTCCCTTCCACTTTATTTGCTGAGGCTTGCACCCTATGTTTTACTCCCACTTTGGTGCCTTTTACCTTTGTATATTATCTAATCAATAATATACATGTTGACTCCTTACCTGGCTTTGGCCTCTTGTACTGTCCGCTGCAGTACCTGCCCTTGGCTTGCTATACCCGTGAGTGTCCTTTGGCCATCCCGTGAATGTCCTTGTTGTTTGCCCATAGGCTGGCAGCCTACTATAAGTCAACTCTTTTCCCTTCTTTGTGAGAGCAGCCTGCGTGAGTATTCTATTGAGAGCAGTGCTCCCTTCTCCTTCTTTCCTTTGTGTGAGAGCTGAGAGAGGTCCTAAGTGGAGAATAAAAATAGAGTTGTGTTGTAGCTTCCTCCTAGTGTGGTGTGTGAGAGTGTGTGTTGAGAGACCTGAGCCGGAGACGGAGCCGATCCTAACAATTCGTATACTCGTTTTTTCGTCACAATCCAAAAAGGTGGAATCGCCCACGCACGGGCCACGGCACACCTGACCTGGTGGACGGTGGAAAAGTTTTTTCTTCACGATGTGCCTATGTGTACACAAAGTAATGTATATGCTGTGAAGTTTCCTTCTCACGCTTCTCAATAGCATGCATGAAGCAAGAGATTGGCATATTTTAAACGTTGTGGATTATGCTTTACATGAAGAATCAGTACCATCTGTTATTCCTCACCTGCCTTGTGCCAAAGTGTGATAAAGTGTAGGCCAGAACATGACTCATTATTCCATCATACTGTGACTAAATTTCACAATCTTCATCCTACCATATAACTGACTGGGCGGTTTTAAAAGGTCTCAGGATGGGGTGTCATTGCTTTCAGAAAAATACTTTCTAGTCCATATCTAGTTCAGTACAAGCAGTCTGAGTCTGATCGAGTCAATTTTAGTCTAATTTTAGTTCAAGATTTCAGTTTATTCATTGTAGGAAGCAATGAAATTATTTTGGATGGATTAGAGCTGGAAGTCTGGGACTAGTTATAGCCAAAAAACAGGGCATGTAGATTTGAACCATAATTTTGACACAAATAAGTACAACTTGACCATCTCTTTTATGATGGTCAACTAAAATGATAGAGATGGTCAAATTGTACTTATTTGTGTCAAGTTGTACTTATGATGGTCAAATACCCCAAGGGAAAGAAAGTCAGGGTACAATAAGTACATTTTGACACAAATAAGTACAACTTGAACCATAGTAGAGCCAAGGGAAAGAAAGTCAGGGTATTTGCCTTGGCTCTAAAATGATCGACTCAAACGGGAATCAATTTAACTAGAACTTCACCCAAAATAGGCCTAACCCAGAAATAGGAACAGGTTGGCTCAGGTCGATTACTGGTACCAGTTATAGCAATAAACGATCGTGTTCACTCCTATATAAATATAGGAGTTAAACCATAAAATTAACACAAATAAGTACATCTTAACCATCCCTTAACATGAAAATGGGTCATGTTCATTCCCATCTCTTAAAATTTGTCTTGGAGCTAGGCATGGACCCAGACAAGAATCAATTTAGCTAGGAATGGACCAAAACTAGTACCCAGAATTGGCCTAACCCAGTACTAGGCATGGACCCGGTCAGGTTCGATTCTGGACTGGCCACTCCTAAGAGGCTGGATATCTGGAACCGAGAGTCCGAGAGCGGTCCCAATTTAAGTCTGATTCTGATTTTTTATTTTTAAAAATATTTTTTTGTATGTTTTTAAACCTTCTGGACCCCCTCCCTACTTTGTTTTAGCCTTCAAATGAATTAGGCAGTGTTTTAAAAAGCCAAAAGTAGTGTTTGCAAATGACAAATTCTACTTAATTTAAGTAGTTTTAAGCCAAAAGTTGGAAGCTGGGTTGGGGTTGCTTTTATCTACTTCTAGGCTTTTTAGTAAATAAACCCAACTCTGATGGCAGTTCAATTCCTGAACAATTTCGATTATCCCCAAAGCTACCCTTCGACCTCACATCCTGCCTACTAGAACCGGTTTCCAGCATCAAAGAACCACCCTTCCGCTTTCATCAATTATCAATGGAATCTAGTACCACCAGTGGCCAAGCTGTTATGCCGCCATTCTGTTCTGCCGCCGCTCTGTTCTGCCGGTGGTGAAGACGAATGTGTCGCAAGTCTCATGCGGTGTCGCCGCCGGTGACCAAGCAATACATAAATTCGACAGAGAGCTCCACAATTTGATTTCAAAATGAAGAGAGCTAGAAGTTTTTTTCTAAATTAAACTAAGATGATTAGAAGAGAGCTAGACGGAGAGCTCTAAGCCTCTAAACGGTGGTGGTCAAGCACCTGAAAAAACTTCTCGCTGTAAAAGGAGAGATCCACAATTATTAGAAGGCATAAATGTAGGAGTATTATAGGTTGAGAATCACAAGGTTTGAGAATATTGTGTATTGAGAGGTCAGAAAGAGCTTCCGGTCTGTTGGGGAAGGTGCCAGAAAAATGTAGCTCGAGCAATAGAATGTTGGGCATTCAGGATGGACCGATGGAGTAATATTTAATTTATTTGAGGGGCATTTTTGTACTTTCACAAATTACACTACCAAAAATCATTTTTTTATCAAACACTTCAACTTTTACCTTTTAATTACAATCACTTCTATTTACAAACACTACTCATTTTTACTATAAATCACTTTTCCAATAATCTCTTAAAAAAATCACTTTTAAAAAGCACAAGCAATCGCAAACACTCCCTTAATCTCTTAAAATGCCTCTAAGGCTCTAAGCTTTGAAATGAAAAAAAAATCATACTGAGACCATATTGGGCGAATCCAATCCACAAATACCCTAATCCGCACCGGCACCAGTAGGGGACAAGTCCAGCGACGCTCCCAAGACTCAATCGGAAAAATCAGTTATATTCTGATCTTTGGAACCACCTAGTTACGGTCCAGACCGGTCCAAGACCATGGACCAGGTCCAACCTTACCCAGTACAATCTGGGTGACTCCAAATCAAGACCGGACTAGATCATGTTTTTTAATTAGATTGCAAAACCGGACCAAAATCAGTTTTGAACCGAACCATTATCAGGTTGAGACCAAAATTGGTCCTTACCCAGAAATTCCGATCCCAGTCTCAGGTAGGGAGTGTGGGGGCAATAATCAAAAGGTTTGGAGACCACCCTTGGCACAATACAAAGAAACACACTCCAAAATTGCCTGATATTGAAAAAGTTTTGATTGGAGTGGCTTAATATGCTGAATTAGGTGATGAAATAGAGAAAAATTTTATGAAAAATAACTAAAATGATCCTCTATAATAATTTCAACCAATATTTGATTCAATATCTGAAATCAAAAGTTACACGCTTGGTGAAAACGCTGGATAAATACTGAGACTTTCCAAGGAAAAGCGCAAGGTAAAAGTATTTTCTTACTTGAACAGACAGAGGCATGTGTCATGTTTCTTCTTTAATCTTTAATATATAAAAAATCAAATCTGCATAACCGGTTGTTTTCCAATCCCATAATTTTATGCACATGTAGGTTTCTATTTTTTCCCCAGATGTATTTATTAAGAAAACTCTGGGTAGGCTAGGCTAGGTTGTTCTGAACAAAAAATTGGAGTATTTATCAGTTTAAAATCGCAGTCTAGCTACACACAAGACACTAGTATTATTACAAAGAAGAGGTTCAGAAAAATAGGTTAATAGTTTTTTTAAAAGCCCAGTATGATCAGCACTGTACAGTTCTCCACAACACAACAGCAAAATACATACTGAGCTTTCCCAGGAAAAAGATGAACCAGCCCTCCTAGCAACAAAGCTCAATCGGTTTTCTTTCTACGCTTTGCCTCCGCCTAGCATAAAGATTATGAAATTTGATCAGTGACCTAACATAATCTAACAAAAAATAAAGTGAGGATAGAAACACTTATGGATTTTACATAGAGGGGATTCACTGATGAATTTTACTTGTCTTAGTTGCCATTTACCATCATACCAATTCTTCTTCCTTCGTCTATTTTCTTTGATTTGTCTTATGAAATAATGATGGAAATAATACTATTAGCTTCTATGCCGACAAAAATATGATCATTTTTAATTTTGAATAAAAAAGAGACCAAAAATAATAAATGGACTGAAGCACCCCTAATTAAAAAGATCAGGACTGAACAGCCGGCCTCCAAGTCTTGCTCATTGTCGATATAACTTCTCCTATCTCCCCAGGCTCAACTTCTGTGAAATCTCTCCCTGGCTCATCTTCTCCATTGCAGCAACCACTCCATACCCACGACCAAATCTGTCGCACTCGTACCTTCTGAGCTCTGGTCATGGCGAGCAGCGGTCTTCTGGCTATGGCGAGCGGCTGCGGCGCTTTTGACAATAGCGTGTGAGCAGCTGTCCTGGCTACGGCTCACGGATCAGACTTTTGTCCCTCCTGGTGATGACCCTCTAGCTACGGCGAGAGACGAGCGGTGGCGCATCGTGGATTTACGGTGAAAGAGATGGAGGGAGGTGCAGCTAGGGTTACAAAATGACAGCGGGCAGCGTCACAACTTGGGTTACAAGGGTGGCGGCGGGCGGAGGCTATGGTTAAGGGACGAGATTAGTGACGGCCTGGGTTTCAACACCTTCTTCAATTCGTTCATTTTTTGTTTATTGGATTCTATATGGTTGAGGTCACTGTCTGGAGAGAGCAGTGACTCTGATCAATCGATCCACTGATGAAAGTTTTTAGGTGTCACAGTTTGTAGTTGAAAAAACAGGTCACTGTAGTGTTGGAAATAGGTCACTGGGACTGTAGTGTAATTGTCACTGGACAACGGGTCATTGTATCGGTCATCGGGAAACATAGATCAGTGTGATGTCGGGGTGGTGGTCACTATGATCGGATGTTGGTTACTGTGACCGGCAGTGGTGACGGTGGTCACTGTGACTGGCGACGGCGTTGGCACTGTGACCGGTGACGGCGTTGGCACTATGACCGGCGACGGCGTTGGTCACGTTGACCTTGGTCACCGTGACCCTGGGTCAACTGCGCCAGATGGAATAAAGGGGTATAATGGCCCTCTTAATCAGTTTTAGAGTCTTTTTGGATATTTAAAAAGGTCTCTTTTTTGTCCATTAGGTAATTTTTAATACTATTCTTGTCTTAACCCCAATTCCCGGTAATAACATAATCGGCCACTTTAAAATACTACCAGTTTTCGTTTTTAGTTTCTTCAGTTTCTACTTATAGAGGCTTATTACAACTTGTTCTACTTTCAATTCTTAAAACAACCATCATTGTCAAGTCATAAATATGTTCACTTCCTAATTTTTTAGGAAAAATTGAAAATAATAATCCCACTTATTGCTGGTCCGCTGACAATAATCCCAACTATTGATTATTTTTATATAATTCCAACTATATGCACCGTCCGCCAATAATGGTCCATGACCAGATATTACCTCCTATAACAAGTGATTTTTAAATAGATATTAAGCGTAAAAATTAAAAGTTGGGATTATTTATAGGGATTACTTGTTATATCTCTTCTCATCCACTTTAGAAACTACAAGAATTTATTTATAGGGACCATTATTGGCGGAAGGTCCCTAAAGTTGGGATTATTCTGAAATAATCGATAGTTGGGATTATTATGAGCGGACCGCCAATAGTTGAGATTATTATTGCTATCAATTTTTCCAATGTTTTATCTACTCTTCCACTTTTTCACCATTTCTGTAGTATCAACAACATGTGCTTTTACTCTTAGGTTCTGTAAATATTCTACATGCACAGTTAACTGAACGGAAGGAGCATTAAGCTCATTGTAAGGTATGTCAAAATATCATATTATACGATAGTATTACTTCATTATAATCTAAAAGTCTAAAACTAGGTTACAAGGAGAACTGGAGACGTTCCTCATGACATAGTGCTGTTGCACCAATTAAATTGAAATCCAGTTACAGGTTTACTCTGAAGAGAAAACTGACGGTAAAGAATGGAAAACTGCACTAACCTGCGGTGATACTTGAAATGAATTCATTTGTTCTTTAGCCTCTTCTTCACCTGAGCAGTCTGAACACACAAAATGCTCCAACTTCTTTATTTCATCAATGGACAAGCCCATACAAGAAGGATGAAACCTACAGGTTTACTAATCATATTAAATATGAAGAACAAAACCTGCATTAGCTCAATATACAGTAGAACTCAAACATTTGTTTAACTAGGACATTTTAAAAGGCTAAGACTATATTATCTTCACAAATACTGAAGGAATAACAAAAAAAAAAGTGATCATCAAGCATTTTAATAACCCTTAATTCATTTTTAAGAATGTTTTATGTATCAAGAATATACTAAGCCCCCAAAAGTCTTCCCCTCTAAAACCCTCCGTCTAAATTGGTTCTCATGTTTGATATGGTCATAATAGACTCAAACCCTCCATAAAGAACATAAAATATACATGAGATCTCATATCTTCATTTTATAATGGATGCAGTTATGTTTTGTTTTTTAACTTTGAACTGCAGTAGCAAAGATGTAACCTTAAACAAGAATGCTCGAGGGGCAAAACAAATTATTACTCAATTAGTAGCCCTTCTTCAGCTTCAGTGTGTTTTCTTACAAAGCAGGTCAACAATTACTTCTCGATATATTGTCAGTATCATGTAGATTCTATTTGGTAATTCTCATTTACAATATAAATAAGCGATTCAGCACTTAAAACCAAGACTTATATCCCATACAGTAGGACAATCTACGTGAGCAAATGATGTATCTTAGAAGAACCAAAACATGATGTTTACTGCAGACCAAAGGTGACTTGTATCAAGTTAAATGAACAATCCTACGTATCACTCATTTAAATACGGGCTGCAGATTAGGTCATTCACTAATTTTCAATTTGATGTTATTGGTGATGCTACTGCTGCCGAGGGACTGGTCATGTTATCTACTACCGCTAGTAAGAATAACAACAGAAGAGTTAATGCACATGGTACTTCATTCACTGCCAACTATACTAATAAACATGATACCATAAGTTTCATTTTTATCATTGGGTAATAAATAAAGCGTGTTTTGTTCCCCACTTTTAATGATGGTTAGATCCTTAGAGAATGTCCTGTCATTTCTTCCCCACTTCCACTAAAAAGCAGTGAACCAATGAAAATAACAGAAGTTTTTGAGTTGTCCAGCCTGGCAATCAAAGATGCAAAGAGAAAAAATATAAATCAAATGAAGCTCATACCAGTCAGCGCATCCTTCACACTGAACCATGAGATCATCAGGATTATAGGGCATCTCACACTTGCAATACCTTCAGAGAAACAAAAAGATTAGCCACTGCGGTAACATTGCCTTGAGTTCTAGTTACAGGGCATTTGGTTTAGGTAATAAAGGTAATGTGTGATATTACCTTGTTTGTTAAAGTTTTTATAACGGTGATCTGAAATCACTCCATGTAGGAAAATTAGGTAGGGGTTCTGTTTACATTGTAATATTACTTTGGTACGGAGTAATATTTACGACTATTGAATTAGGTCCTGAGCAATTTAATGACATACAAGTAAATCGTATTCCATGAATCATCCACTTAAGGCAGTTAGGGGTTTTTGGTTCACAGAATATAAGATTATACTCCCTCCATCCG